GACTTAGAAAAAATGCGACACTGTGCTACCAACTAGGTCATAAAAATTTATACACACAAACGTAAATTGCTGAAACATCTAGTACCATAAGACCAATGTAAATAAATTTAGTATAAATAGGATGTAAATAATTCAATAAACTAGTCACACACAAGGCTCATTCTTTTTTGGATACTGCAGTAGTATCAACCCTTGGAAACTGCGATAATGTCAACCTTGAAGGCTGCAACAGTGTCATACAGAAACGTGTCCAACATTGTTATTAAACCGGTTCTTATCAGAACCACAACTTTTGGGAGTCATAAAACGACTACATAAACTACAATAACGCATATTTAACGTACTTCAGACACAACTGGAAAGCTGTAACCAAAGAAGTAACGAGGCTCTTCAACAATTTGAGTTCGATATGGAGCGCTTTGTGAAATTAGCCTACTCCTTTTCCGCTCGAGAATTCATAAACTGGCATAAACTGGTTGTATAAACATTAATCGATGGAGTCAGGGAAGCCGAACTACAGCAAGTCCTTAGATTAGCACGCGACAAGACTCCGACTGAAGTACTGTCACAAGCCCTGGAGTTTGAAGCGACGGAGAAAGCTTCCAAATATCATATACTTGTACGAGAAGTAGAAATCGACGATAATTCAATTACCAAAGGTGTCATGTAGCTCATAAGGAAATGAGTAATCGATGTGAAGAAAGTCATTGCTAAAAATACGGGAGAACAGTAACTAAAATGCTGGGAGTATGGTAGAACTGGTTATTTTACTCGGAAGTGCAATAACTACAGTAGTCGTACGAAATGCTGGAATTACGGCATTGCTACTCAAACGCAAGTTGTCTAACCCTCACTAAGCCCCCGAAGAGGACACCATTTCAAGACTGGACGGCACTAACTCATTATATATAGATGGCTCTATAAATGACCAATATGTTAGAAAGTTATCGATATAGGGATATCCAACACCATCGTTCGCCCTGATACGGTATCGGAATGGCGAATTCGACCTTTGACCAAAAGACTGATCTTGACTACGGCTACCGGGGAAACTTCACCAATCAATGGAGAATGCAATGTCGAAATTAGAATTGGAAATGCAATGTTATACAGTTGAGTATTGGTGGGCGACATAGTAGATGATCTCATCATTGTATTGGACTTTCTTCAAGAATATCGAATTGACTTAAATCTGAGCACTTCCACAATGCGCATCGGTGGAGAAGAGATACTATTGTCAAATCCTAAGATGAATTCTGCTGCCTACAAGGTGATCGCAAGGGAAAATCGAGTACTACTAAATCACTCCGAATACATTGTAAATGTCAGAATAGACGACGACATCGGCGGATTGGTGGATGTAGCTCGAACCGGGCAATCAAGACTTGATACAGTGGATTGGTGGGACATACGCTCGTAAAAAGTGGAACATCATTGATACCTGTTAGAATAGTCAATTTGAAAGGCTGGGCAAAATATCTGTAAAGGCACAGAGTTGGATGTATTTGAAGCGGTAGCTGAAATCCACCACTGTGACAGGAAAGAAGAACCCAACACGAAACTGGCATCACTTCCTGCATCTGGAAAAACGGTCAAAAAACCATCGTAACAAGCTCCCTGTCAAACAAGTGGAAGAACTTTTTGGTCGTCTTCATTACGTCTTCGTCCTGTTAGATCAAGACTTAGGTAGGACCAACACATCAACACTGGAACAGTAAGGCCCTTATAGTGCTGGTACGCAAGAAGGATAGTTCCACGAGATTTTGTGTGGACCACAGGAAGTTCCATGACGTAACGCTGTAAGTCAGTTATCCATTACCCAGAATCGACGAAACACTAGATAGTTTAGCTGGAGCTAAATGGTTTTCTACTCTCGATTTGAAAAGTGGATACTGCTAAGTGGATATTTATCCGCAGGAAGAAGACTGCCTTTACAACTGGAAATGGTCTATAGCAGTTCAGTGTGATGCCTCTTAGGTTGTTAGTTACACGGATTAAACTGAAAAATCTGTTTGGTTTACCTAGACAACATCAACATACTAGGAAGAACTTTCGACGACCACCTCCGAAACGTGACCGAAGTCTTCAAGAAATTGTCAACCGCAAGGTTGAAGATAAGTCCCGAGAAGTGCATTCTACTTAGAAATGAAATGAAATACTGTCACAATGAAGCATTTCAACATCTGAAGATTACACTCTCTGGAGCCCCAATCTTGACGTATCCCCAGTTCAGCGAACCCTTAAGCATAGATGCCGATGCTAATTATGTGGGATAAGGCTATTGAGCGCAGTGGACTTAATTTCGACCACCATGGTTTGAAAAGAATGTGGGAAAGTGCAGATGGAACCAGAAACAAGCTCCAAGTGGTACTTCTGAAGAAAAGGACTTCAGAAGTCTTAGAAGGAGTTCACGGAAAAGGACATTTCGGCGTTACGAAGACTCTAGAGAACGTACGCGAACGATTTTATTGGCCATAAAGTAGAAGCGATGTAGAAGACTGATACACGAAATGGAAATGCCCGACATTCGTCGCCAGTAAGGGGCCGCAGAAAAGGAGTCGTGGACGAATGCAATAGTGCAACGTGGGATTGCCATTTGAGAGAATCGTCGTCGACGTGACAGGACCATTTCCAATGAGAGACTCCGGTAACCAATACATTTTAGTAATCATAGATTACTTTAGCAAATGACCCGAAATATATGCGACACCGAATCAGGAAGCACACACCATTGCCGAAAAGCTTGTCAGTGTTAGGATTATTATTATATTACTAAAACGAGGATTGCGCCCTTACATCTACAGTCTGATGAAATGGTTGAACGATTTAATTCTACTTTGGAGACCAATTTAAGAAACGTCGTTAACGAACACCAAACTGATTTGGACCGACACATAATACTATTCCTCCTGGCTTATACATTCGCTATCCGCGAGAGAACTGGAAGAACGCCGGGTGGCATCTTATTTGGGAAAAAATTGAGGTTGCCAGCCGGCATGATGTTTGCTCGTCCTGGTGACTCTCCAGTACCTACAGACGAATATGAGGGCGAACTATAAGAACGACTAGAATACAGGCCTGACGCTGGAAGCTGGCGGAAATTTTAAAATGGCGTGGATGCGCGGTGGCAAAAGTAGGCAGTTTTAGGTATAACGATTGCAGCCCTCTTTTTTCAGTATTTCCTATCAGGGGCGTAGATTAAATATTTAAAAGCAGCGATCAGTGAGCAAGTAATAGACATAGTATTTATAGAGGGTCGGACTTGTTCTAGAACGATCGGTATCTGGACTATAAGTTTTTGAAAATTTTGGTCTTCTTTGCTATACTAGCGTAATCTCCGCAATAACACGCCTTTTCGCTTATACGCAATACGTCCTCCCCACCTAAAATTGATCGTTACGATATTACCTTAAATGATGCATCGTATAACAGTGTAAGGACTACCTCAAGTTTGTAGTTTCGAGCAACGTCTTTTCCATCGAAAGATCACACCTTGTCACCTTCATTAACACCAGCAGAGTTGACTCGTCGATTGTGTCTGGCTCTCACGTGGAAAATTTCCAACTGCAACTTTGTACGCATAGGACTATGTATAGTTTCTTGTAGTTGTAGCGTAGGTACTCGTATGTAAACACTGTAGTCTCCAAGCCTTTATCCTAAATTTTCTCCCAAAAATAATGCTGGCTAGTGTTGGTGGTTTTTCTTATGTAGTTCTCCAAAGTAATGTTAAATCGTTTAATCACCCAGCTGTTGGTATCAAACGTACCTATATTCCGAGTCATGGTATTATCTATCAACTGATTACAGCATAACGCCCTAATCTTAAATTACACTACCATTGTACTGTCACATGTATGCAATCCAACATACACAGTAACAAAGAAGACTAGAGTTTCTAGAATACGTTCAACGCCTATAAATACCCGCCGCGAGTTAGTTGGAGTCTTAGTGACGAGGTGATATAAAAAGAAATAAGATGAGCGAAGAAGTGATAAAGAGTAAATAATTGAATAAGTTAGATATTAGTGCAAAAGGTGTCTAATTATGAGACGATACTTTTCAACTATTTTATTAATAACTCTACTAAACACTCCTGTCTAGTCAATTTAGATATTGTAGTGGTTCACTTTATTTTTAACCAAAAACGTCCAAATTCGCATTTAATTTAGGAGCAAAATAAAGTGTATCAGATTTCATAGAAACGGACTTTCAATATTTTTTTAAAAGCCTTTATTTCTTTGACTGTCTGTTTGTATTGCTTTTCTGAAACTTAAATTTTTTAATTGTACAAGTTGTACAAAATTATTTGTTTACATTTCATCATTATTTTAAATGTAATGTCGGCGAATTACTTTTTTAATTTAGGAACCGTTACAAGTATGTGTTAACTGGCTTAAAGTTCTCCTGCTGACAATAAAATGCAGTATTCTACCTTTTGAGGATTATAGACTGTCTATATTTGTCCTTCACATATCAGCTAATCAATTCTTATGCAGATTTGCAAAAATTATAACAATTAAGTTTAATGTACGATCCGTCAAACCTCTTTTGTTAATCATTATTGGTGGGGTGCAGTGATTTTACTATTGCGTTGATTATTTAAAATTAAACTAACAATATTTGCTCATTGTATTCTGTTTACATAAAATAGATTTAGTATTGGAAAAAAGATGAAATTAATCTGAAAAAGTTGAAAAGTGAAACGAGTGGTAGTTATAGCGGGCGGTCAGAAAATGTGTTTCGAAAGTCGGTAGACGGACATTTCCGATTACTTGGAGGAAGAATACCGAAGAATGGTAGTTGTAAGGCTCTGAGTAATGGTACTGTTTTACGATTACCCATTGGTTCTAAAAACAACAATAAGCGAGACAGCTGTAGACGCGATTGCAAAAAGCAAGATAGAATAGTAAAGTCATGCTCAAGGGCGTTAGCAACCTTATACAAGATATACTGTATATACATAAAATTTGCACATTGTAGCGGTTGTTATTATAACTCACATTCTCGAAAGGTATTTCGGGAGTCCATTCCGTGGGAGTTCCTTCTTCTTCAATTGTACTTTGATGTATTCCGCTGTCACTATGGGCTACAGGTGAGGAAGATCGAGAAACAGTAGTTAAATTTTCTGAGGGTGGTTGACTACGTGGGGATACTTCATCATCTGACCAAATTTTATTGGAAAATATGCTGTAATTTACATATAAAAGACGGTAGTTACAATTGGTTACCTAATAAATAGTAGTTTTTAGAATATGCCATAATGTATAATATACCTGTATATACTACATAATTTTAATATTTGATATATACTCCTTGTAGAGAAATTTATACAAAAGATTTTGTTTGATAATAAAAAGAAAAAGTTAACCAACAAATAAAGCAAGAGAAGGAAGTTCTTCTCGCGTGCGAGTTCGATCGCTAGGAATTTTCGTGGTTGTAAAGAGAAAGGGACAGGTCGCCCGAAATGCTGATGTTCGTAGTCGAGATTACGAGAAAGATAGGTTGCAGCTTAGGTAGAAGGACATAAAAGGAAATTCACAGCACTTGGTTTAGTTACGTACACATAGGCATAGTAGGAACGTAAGGGGAATCTCCATAGAATTCAATCTCCAACATTCAACCTACCCTGGCAAGGAAGAGGGAGATTGGGAAGAGGGGCTTGAACGTTTGCATCCGAGATCCTGTGAAATATTGACCTAGCTCTGTCCTACACTCGTGCTAGCTATATCAGCGCCTCAAAATCTTGTTTGCGAGATCCGGTTAAATATTGACCTAACTTTGTCTTAAAGTTCTGAACAGTTAACCATTGGCTTATCTCTGTCCGGCATACGTGAATTATCTTTTTCGATTTACGCTTGATTCTCTGTCGGCTAAATCTTATCAGGAGACACCCTGTATGCATGCACGAGATTTTCTCTTTCTGAAAGAACACGGAGAATGATGTATGCATGATGGGAATGATAAGAATTGAGAAATAGAGCGATTAGTTGCGAATAATTCCGCCTTTTTCTTCAAATTCGCCTTACGCTGCGTACCCCATAGAAACCTTTTGCTGCACTACTGAATCCCCTTAATTCACTAAGTGTACGTAAAATTGCTTGTCTGTTATCTCCTGGCCTCTTAGACAGGTAACATATTATTTGAAAGTACTTCTAAGGTATAATGATCTAATTGGGTTTTATTGGGGTTTCCCAAATCCTTGCAACAAATGTTGGATCGTATTGGTTTTCCATAAAAAAAATAAAATATAGAAATAAAGCTATTACCTGCATTTCTGTTTTCTTTATGGGAATCATAAAAGAATCTCAAAAAGTTACTAACATCTTACAACGTAAGTATAAAAGTACAATTTGACGATCACGATCACTGTCCATTCCTTTCGATTAAAAAAAATAAACATAGTTGAAGGTTTATTTGTATTTTATTTGTTTATCTGTCCGACACTACATTAGACGAGTTAGTAGCAGACTCTTTACTATCCTGAGCTAATCTTCGCATTTCCGCAAAACTAGAACAACCCACATCCTTAACTATTTGCAAACAGTAATCTAATCTAGGTCTACCTTTATCCCTCTTAACTCCCATTTCTGCCTATAATATATCTCTGACTAGACTTTCATGCCTGAGAAGGTGTCCTACTAACCTATCTCTCCTATTTCTTATTGATTTTCATAGAGTCCTCTGTTCTTCTATTCTTTCTAAGACCTCTTCATTTCTAACATTCTCTATCCACGACATCCTCATCATTCGCTTGTTACACCAAATTTCGAACGCTTCTAACCTTTTCTTTTCCGCCGCGCCCACTGTCCTATCTTTCTATCCGCCATTTTCTTACTTTTTCTTCCCTTACCAGTATTTTTGTTTTAGTTTTAATTATTTTCATACAGTACTGTTTTGTCAGTACCGCATCCATTTTATTTAAAGCTATCTCTAACTCTTCCTTGCTAGATGCTAATGCAGTTATAACATCTGCAAATCTAAGCATACCAATCTTTTGTCTCCGTTTATTTATCCCTACAGTTGTACTTGTTTTAATGATGTTGATCGCGTCTTTGTTGTATAGATTAAAAAGTAGCGGTGACTATGTGCATCCCTGTCTGACTCCTTTCCTAATATTTACTTTACTACGTTGCAGCCCCAGATCTATAACTGCCTTTTGCTCTTTGTACAAACTAAGTATCACTCTTCTGTCTCTGTAACTCATTCCTACATTTTTAAGTATATTTAACATCTTGTCCCATTAAACATTGTCAAAAGCTTTTTCTAAATCTACAAATCCTCTATTTTTTCTAAACCCAAATTGATCTTCCTCTAATAATTCTTATATAGTGTAATATTCGTGGGTTTTTCAAAATTAACTTTTAAGACTCATAACGACAATAACTATTTATTTACACTAGTTGAAAAGTGAAACGAGTGGTAGTTATAGCGGGCGGTCAGAAAATGTGTTTCGAAAGTCGGTAGACGGACATTTCCGATTACTTGGANTAGAGGTAGATCTAGATTAGATTACTGTTCGCAAATAGTTAAGGATGTGGGTTGTTCTAGTTTTAGGGAAATGCGAAGTTTAGCTCAGGATAGGAAAGAGTGGAGATACGTGTCCAACCAGTCTTAGGACTGATGACCTTATGAAGATGATGATGACAATATACAAATAACAATACAGAAAAAATTAAAGATAGGTTACAATACAAAAAATAGGGTGTCCGATCTATATTTAGTTATTCCTAGAGCTTAAATGGTAACCGAGATCAGACACTGGAAGCAGGGCTCTACCACGAGAAAACTTCTAACTTCGTGCCTAATACCTCACTTTTTCGCCGTGTACTCTACAGAGCTACTCTTATATCCCTACTTGGGAAGACTCTTAGAGGGAGCTAAAGACTAATGTTGGTTTCCTTTCCTGTTCAGTGCTAGCCCTTTTATACTTCTTTTTGAGTGGTTGGGGTGTATCGGACCGAGCCGCTAGGAAAGGGTAGTCGCTCAGGGGTAGGTGTGTGCGACTCTAACGTTACTAAGCTCGAGTGGCTCCGTTACGATCGGTACTGCGACGAGTCGGGAAACTGTGAAGGGATGAATTCGTCGGCTAAGCATGACGCAGGGTCCATCTCTGCGCATGGCGAATTTCGCGGAGAGAGCGCAACTAAGTTGTCGTTTTGGACAACGGCTTGGAGAGCCTCATGCGCTTCCTCGGGGGTCCGTAGTTCTCGTCCGAACATTAGTTAGGCAGGCGAAAACCTCGTGGAGCTGCAAGGGCGGTGTTTAAAGCGAAACGGATGCTAGGGAGTGCCTCATCCCATCGAGTCTGGTCCTCTGGAGCTGCCGTTACCAATTGGGTTCCATTATCGCTTATCATTCTCCGGGGCGTCCCATACCGAAGAAGTATTTCGTCTAATATCGTTATGGCGTAGGCTTTGGAGGTGGTGGATGACAAAGTGTAGATTTGGGAAAGGGACAGAAATGGTCTCTGTTTCATAACCAGAATTTGCATTAGTTCAGCGGGTTTTAGATTCGTTGCCTTGAATCGCTGGCACTGAATGCAGTCCTTTAGATATGTGATGATGTCCTTGCGCATCCCAATCCAGTAATAACGGGAAGTGATTCGCTGCAAGTGCGGTCTATTCCATAGTGTCCGGCGCTAGGATCGTGGTGGTACTTCTGTAATATGTACATTTATCCTGCGTTGGCACTACCAGCTGCGGTTCTTCAGCATACAGCTCGGGCACGTATCGGTATATCACTCCCTGCGACACCAGGTATCCACGGGCGAGTTGTCGATCTATTTCCAATTCCTTTCCTTCCGCGAAAGCTTCCAGAATCTTCTTCAAGATTGAGTCCTGCAGTTGATTTTCCCGTACCATTTCTGGGGTGTATGTGGGGAAATCTATGGAGACGGTGTGGAGGCGGCACACAGGCGTTTCTCCTTCGAAAACCGACGGTCGGGATAGACCATCAGCTATGACGTTGGATTTTCCGGGAGCGTACTCTACTTTATGATTAAATGGTTGCAGCTGGAGAGCCCATCGAGCTAAGCGCCCGGCTGATGTTTTCAGATTTATCAACCATTTTAGAGGTTGGTGATCAGTTATCACGACCACTGAGGTTTCTTTCAGATATCTGCGGAACTTGGATATGGCCTAGACGATAGCCAGTGCCTCCCACTCCGTTGTGGAGTAATTTCTTTCGGTAGAAGTCAATTCGCGTATTCGATAGGCCGCTCTTTCTGCTCCTCCTTCAGGAGTAAAACCGCTCCCAAAGCGTAACGTCTGGCATCAGTCCGCAAGGTCAATGGTTTCGATAGGTGGGCTTGTTGCAGGATTGGAGACGTGGTTAGTTTCCTCTTGAGGGCGTTGAAAGCCTTTTGCTGATCGGCTCCCCATTCCCAGACGGTGTCTTTCTTAATTAAGCGACTTAACGGACGGCAAATGTCGGCAAAGTCCTTGAAGAACACGCCGGTACCACGAGCAGGTCTGGAGGAACTCCTGGAGTTGTCGCAGATTTCTGGGAGGTTGGAGATTTTATCTGGTGGCTACCTATCTTGGGTTTGTCTCGATGCCTTGGGGAGTCAGCATATGTCCCAAATATTGGACTTCGGGCCAGCAGAATCGGCACTTCCATCGACTCATCCTTAAATTGAATATTTTCGTCTGTAAGAAGATCTTCCAGATTCCAGATTCTTTCGTTCGGCGAGCGGGAGCAGTGGACATTCGTCCTTCCTGAGGGCAAGATTGGCAGTGGATAAGTGCACCACCTTCCTAGGGGAAGCAGAAAACAGATTTTTGCGAATCGAATTGACATCAAATCATAACATAAAGTTGTTCCTCCGAGTGACCGGAGATTTGAATTTCTCGGGAGACATTTCCATCGGTATCGGGACCCATGCGGACGCGCTTGTTTACATCTGGCGGTCGTTGTGATCTCCAGAGACACCCAATGGGATATTAGCGTCCGGCGTCTATAGTAGTAGGCGTTAAGAGAAGTGGCGATGGTGTGGCTGAGTATTGGTCCTTTCGTAGGGGGGATAATAATGTTGGATAAGCATATTCTCTGCGGATTGTTTCCAAGTCTCATTCTTCCTCCTCTGTCGCTGGTTAGGGCGCATGCGTCGGTTGTTTGTACACTTCGGTGGTCAGGATCTCTGTCGGCTGATTTCGTTCCCCAATGAACGACGTACTCCTGGTTCTTCTGCGAGAACCCCAGATGCTAGTGGACATGTCGAGGATCAGCTTAGTATCCTCTAGGAAATCGCCTCCTAGTAGGGTTTGGTTCCGGGCGCCGGAAAGTATGACGAACGTCGTCATACGGTTTGGTTTGCGAGCTACAACATAGGCGGGCTGTGTCTGGAAGGCACGCCCTTCTTCTTGTAGGAGTTCTCGTAGCTTGTGACTGGTGATACTGATCTGAGCTCCGGTATCTATCCCCGCGGTGTCGCAGTATTTTTCCACAAATACTCGTACGGCTGGTCGGATACGGGGCGCTAGGGAGCGCGGCTTTTCGGCGGCATTCAGTGCGCTGAAATCTAATTTTGATGGTACGGCTTTCTTTGTGCATTCTAACTGCTGGTGAACAACCATTTATGTACTCGTCTACAACTTGTAGTTCTTGTTCGTCGGAAAAACGCGCGGTGCATTGCGCAAAACTTGCCTGTGTTCTATTGTTGGTTTGTAGGTTGGCCATCAACCTTGCGAATTGGTCTTCCGTGAGCGTAGCCATCGTCAGATTTAATCTCGGACTTCTTTACAGTCGTTTTCATAGAATGTACGCGAACTCGCGAATGACACGATTGTTAACGACACTCGAGCCCCACGTTGTTGGGCCCCAATTGTATCATTTGTTTTCAATAAAACAATTCATTTCTATCAATATACAAAAAAACAATACAGAAAAATTAAAAGATAAGTTACAATGCAAAAACAAGGTGAGTCCGCGTGTAGCTCTTTTTGAACAGAACACTAGTTTTTACCACTATATATATATATAATTTCACTCCAATACTACCGATATTGTTTGTCTTTGCACAGCTCAAATGGTAACCGAGATCAGACACTGGCAGCAGGGTTCTACCATGAGAAAGCTTCTAACTTCACGCCTAATACCTCACTTCCTCGCCGTGTACGCTAGAGGGCCACCCTAATGTTCCTACATGGGAAGACTCTTAGAGGGAGTTAAAGACTGATTTTGATCTCCTTTCCTGTTCACTGCGAGTTCTTTTATACCTCGTTTTGAGTGATTGGGCCGATCCGCCAGGAAAGGGTAGTCGCTCATGGGTAGGGGTGCATGCGACTCTAACGCTACTAAGCTCGAGTAGCACCCTCGCGAACGGCACTGAGGCGGGTCGGGAAACTGCGAAGGGGTGAAAGCTGCAAAATTCGTAATTTGAAACTGATCGTGTGTTACAGTAACAATTAAAGTGCTTTATTTGTTGCCGACTTAGAAAAAATGCGACACTGTGCTACCAACTAGGTCATAAAAATTTATACACACAAACGTAAATTGCTGAAACATCTAGTACCATAAGACCAATGTAAATAAATTTAGTATAAATAGGATGTAAATAATTCAATAAACTAGTCACACACAAGGCTCATTCTTTTTTGGATACTGCAGTAGTATCAACCCTTGGAAACTGCGATAATGTCAACCTTGAAGGCTGCAACAGTGTCATACAGAAACGTGTCCAACATTGTTATTAAACCGGTTCTTATCAGAACCACAACTTTTGGGAGTCATAAAACGACTACATAAACTACAATAACGCATATTTAACGTACTTCAGACACAACTGGAAAGCTGTAACCAAAGAAGTAACGAGGCTCTTCAACAATTTGAGTTCGATATGGAGCGCTTTGTGAAATTAGCCTACTCCTTTTCCGCTCGAGAATTCATAAACTGGCATAAACTGGTTGTATAAACATTAATCGATGGAGTCAGGGAAGCCGAACTACAGCAAGTCCTTAGATTAGCACGCGACAAGACTCCGACTGAAGTACTGTCACAAGCCCTGGAGTTTGAAGCGACGGAGAAAGCTTCCAAATATCATATACTTGTACGAGAAGTAGAAATCGACGATAATTCAATTACCAAAGGTGTCATGTAGCTCATAAGGAAATGAGTAATCGATGTGAAGAAAGTCATTGCTAAAAATACGGGAGAACAGTAACTAAAATGCTGGGAGTATGGTAGAACTGGTTATTTTACTCGGAAGTGCAATAACTACAGTAGTCGTACGAAATGCTGGAATTACGGCATTGCTACTCAAACGCAAGTTGTCTAACCCTCACTAAGCCCCCGAAGAGGACACCATTTCAAGACTGGACGGCACTAACTCATTATATATAGATGGCTCTATAAATGACCAATATGTTAGAAAGTTATCGATATAGGGATATCCAACACCATCGTTCGCCCTGATACGGTATCGGAATGGCGAATTCGACCTTTGACCAAAAGACTGATCTTGACTACGGCTACCGGGGAAACTTCACCAATCAATGGAGAATGCAATGTCGAAATTAGAATTGGAAATGCAATGTTATACAGTTGAGTATTGGTGGGCGACATAGTAGATGATCTCATCATTGTATTGGACTTTCTTCAAGAATATCGAATTGACTTAAATCTGAGCACTTCCACAATGCGCATCGGTGGAGAAGAGATACTATTGTCAAATCCTAAGATGAATTCTGCTGCCTACAAGGTGATCGCAAGGGAAAATCGAGTACTACTAAATCACTCCGAATACATTGTAAATGTCAGAATAGACGACGACATCGGCGGATTGGTGGATGTAGCTCGAACCGGGCAATCAAGACTTGATACAGTGGATTGGTGGGACATACGCTCGTAAAAAGTGGAACATCATTGATACCTGTTAGAATAGTCAATTTGAAAGGCTGGGCAAAATATCTGTAAAGGCACAGAGTTGGATGTATTTGAAGCGGTAGCTGAAATCCACCACTGTGACAGGAAAGAAGAACCCAACACGAAACTGGCATCACTTCCTGCATCTGGAAAAACGGTCAAAAAACCATCGTAACAAGCTCCCTGTCAAACAAGTGGAAGAACTTTTTGGTCGTCTTCATTACGTCTTCGTCCTGTTAGATCAAGACTTAGGTAGGACCAACTTAACATACCACCACATCAACACTGGAACAGTAAGGCCCTTATAGTGCTGGTACGCAAGAAGGATAGTTCCACGAGATTTTGTGTGGACCACAGGAAGTTCCATGACGTAACGCTGTAAGTCAGTTATCCATTACCCAGAATCGACGAAACACTAGATAGTTTAGCTGGAGCTAAATGGTTTTCTACTCTCGATTTGAAAAGTGGATACTGCTAAGTGGATATTTATCCGCAGGAAGAAGACTGCCTTTACAACTGGAAATGGTCTATAGCAGTTCAGTGTGATGCCTCTTAGGTTGTTAGTTACACGGATTAAACTGAAAAATCTGTTTGGTTTACCTAGACAACATCAACATACTAGGAAGAACTTTCGACGACCACCTCCGAAACGTGACCGAAGTCTTCAAGAAATTGTCAACCGCAAGGTTGAAGATAAGTCCCGAGAAGTGCATTCTACTTAGAAATGAAATGAAATACTGTCACAATGAAGCATTTCAACATCTGAAGATTACACTCTCTGGAGCCCCAATCTTGACGTATCCCCAGTTCAGCGAACCCTTAAGCATAGATGCCGATGCTAATTATGTGGGATAAGGCTATTGAGCGCAGTGGACTTAATTTCGACCACCATGGTTTGAAAAGAATGTGGGAAAGTGCAGATGGAACCAGAAACAAGCTCCAAGTGGTACTTCTGAAGAAAAGGACTTCAGAAGTCTTAGAAGGAGTTCACGGAAAAGGA